AATTAGGTAACTGCAGCTATATTTATTAGCTTGCCCTATTTGTTGTTGACCACAGCAACCTAATTGGAAACAAACAATACTTAAGTCGGTCAGTCTATTTGTAGTATAGAAACTAAAACCTAACTAAAACCAAACCATTTCTATTTGTAATAAAACGAAGCAGAACTTACAGGAGATGTTTTTTTTGGCTAAGACATTATAGTAAAAAAATTATTATTAAAAAAACAAAATACCCGACTGCACACTAAAAAAAGAGTAAAACAAGCCCCACAACAGAGGCTTATTTATAGTCATTTCGGTTGTGCACCATTTAGCAGAATTTTCGTTGGTGGCGGTCAAGGTGGTCCCCGCCTGCGATGCTTTCCATCAACATTTATAAATTATATTCAGTAAATTTGTATTCAAAATAAGTTTCTGTTTATTTAACTATCGATTACGAACACATATTGTAGTGTATTTTAATATAGGTATTGTTTAAACGGTGTTACATAATTAGTTTTTAGCATTTGATTGATCAATATTATTGTGGGGCTTGTTTTACTCTTTTTTTAGTGTGCAGTCGGGTATTTTGTTTTTTTAATAATAATTTTTTTAATTATAACTTTTTAGCTGTTTTTATTTCGATATATACAAATAGGGATATATCGAATAAAATCGCTATTTAGAGACGACCGTCAACGACGTGTGCCCTCATGCGTGTGCCCGCAATCGGGCTGTATACTCGAGCATATCCCCCTCCGCACCGCGCCGCGCGCCGCATGCCAGGCCACGCCCTATCTTTTTGCTTGCTAACGCATGAGTTGCTTTGCGTTGACGCAGAATTAACATGTTCCCGTGGGAATTTTGAGAAAAAACGTATCCTATATTAATTACTCCCGTGATTGAAATGAATCTAATGATACCGCATACATATTTTTTTAAAGGGAAATTTAGAAAAAATATTATTATGTCTTTATCCCGTGGGACTTTTAGGATAAAATGTATCCTATGACACTCCCGTAATCAAGACAAATCTAACGATACCTCATACATCAAAATCCATCAAGCCGTTTAGGCTACAGGTGGTCACAAAGGAAAAGACATACATACATACTTACATACACTCGAAAAACATTACCCTCCTTCTTTGGCAGTCGGGTAAAAACCCCTTTCAAACGACATGTACATTGTAGTACATTATTATTGATGAATGAATCTTATGTAATAGATGTATAGGAGCGATCCAATAACCATACAGGCACTGTTCTGTTGCTCTAAAATAGTATTCGCCCGAATACTGAACTGAACTATTCAATTTTAAGTTGTATTTCAGGTTCAGGTTCCGGTTAAATATCAGAGGCTTTAGTACGAATTTGTTGTACGTTTAAAGTAATCGTAACGAGTACGCATTCGGCTCTCTGATTGGTTGCTTCATTGGCGCCGGCCAATCAGAGTACCGAACGCGTACTCGTTTCGAATACTTTAAACGTAAAACAAATCGTACTAAGGCCTCAGGCCATCTCTGTCATTTGTTCTAAGAATTTGTAATGACGAAACTATAAAAGAGTAAAAACGTTTGAATATTTTGACTTAAAAGGCGTTTCATAATTCGAAAACATGACTAAAATGCGCATTCTAATCTTGAATAACATAACACCTGCCATTATACCTAGTGCGGCCAGGGCCTTACTTGGTGGCGACACTATAATCCATTTGGCCTTACAACGAGATTTTTAGACAATTATCCTTAAGAATATAGAAGAATAAGTTAGAATAGAAGATCCTCTATAAATTGAAAAACCAACAACAATCTAAAATAAGTTGAGGAAATGATAATAATTATTAGAAAGAGGATGTCATTAGAGAATATTATTTTCTTCTTGGAATGGCAATCCGCCTACGATCGAGGATTATTTCTATAATCTACTATATGAGCTATTAACAATGTATGTACATTTGTACAATGTACATGGAAGATACTGTGATCAGCTCATGTCTTACATAATTTATTATTATCTATCTTATTATGAACAGCAATAAACATGAAGAACAAATATTTTGTCACAAACTATCTTTAAGCTAATGTTCCACTTGAAAGGTAACAGACAAACACTTATCTAATTATTCATATCTGTATTTACAACGTCTTGTTTTAAACCATAATGATACTTTGCCTAACTTTGGAATCGAATCTGAGCTCTTACTCAGCATTCACTTGACCGACGAAGCAGTTTTGTAACACACCTACGCGATAAATTACATGATAAGCTAAAAATTTTGAACATTGCCAATGCATAAATAATCTTAGCAGTTAAGTCCGGGAGAGCCATGCTTCGGCATGAATGAGCCGGCTCGACCGGAGTGTAAAAACAACGTGAAACAACGCTTGCGTTGTGCAACATCCTCCACGCCCCTCTCCCCAATCTCCTGAACCCCGACATACCTCAAATTCCTAACCCCCGAAGGGCCGGTAACGCTATTGTAACACCTCTGGTGTTCCAGGTGTCCATGGACAACGCCGATTGCTCACCATTAGGTGATCCGATCTCGTTTACCCGCTTATCAAACAAAAAAGCAGTCTTGTTTTTTTACACCGCTCAATCGAGGAAACATCTTCCCAGCTTATTTTTTCAATATTTCTTAAGTAACTTAATTGCGAAACAATTAGAATACAGTTTAATGTTTTCCTAAGTTCTTTCGTCGTTCTACAGTTAACAAGAAAAAAGTTATAATTGTTTTTTGTTTTTAAGACAAGTAACCTAGTAACGTGCCCGAAGTCCTGGCTTACAAACAATCATAAATTAAGAAACAAGGATAAAATAATAATCCCTATATAATTACTTTTGTTCTATTATAATTTTTGGGAAATATTTTAATTATATAAGCGTCACTGTGTAATTCTTTTCGCATTTTAATTTAATGAGTTTATTTTTGTTAACTAACGAATATTATATCTTAATTTAATTTAACGCACGTATATATTACAGTATAGTTGGTTTGATATCCTTTGTAATATTTAAAAACCTACTACTATTTAAAACATCACATCGATAAATTATATGTCCTCTTTATTGGCATTATCTTTAGTTACTTGACGTCTGCTTGTTTGAACTGGTAGGTTCAGTACCAATGCACACAGCACACCTGTAAGTGTAAGTACATGATGTTGCACTAGTACTCAACCTACCAGTTTTATTGAATGCTGAACTGATGCCCGGTGCCATACGATTGAGTTAAACAGAGCTTTCTCTTCTCATAAAGTTAAGATAACGGATATTTCAACACTGAACGACTATCTTGCTCCTTACTAAAAGCGTACTTTTACTAAAACATTTAAAGTACGATCTACTTACCTCAACTATTTACAAAAGGAATAAACGTCTACTTCTATTTATTTTAATTTTTTCAAAGTAAAATAGGAGTAAAAACTGCCATGGAGCCAGCCGGAGTTAATTGAAAAGCTTTGGGTGTAATCGTTCTATGAAAACATTTGGCCGACAGTATCAGTCAAACAAATCCGAACGGAATTTTTCAAACAAAACATTTATTTTCGGAAACATGAGTTCAACAATTGTACATATAAACCAATAAACCTTTTAGACTCGGCATTCAGGAAGAGCACAAACATTTTGTTTTGTTTTTGTAGATAACGAAACAGTTGAGTGTGTTTGTTTATCGAAGAGGGATGTGTTTCCAAACTTTATACACAAACGCTGACCCGTTGTGATTCTGAACTGATGAACACAATATATACCGAGTTTCCATTGTGGGATTATTTAGTAAACACATACATACACACACACATTCACATTCCAATATTCAGTCAACTTAATAGACAATAACTAAAACGCAAATCTTTTGTAACCATGCCTAAATCAATCTTTATGGATCCACATGCCCCGGCGTTACCTTGGTTCCGGCTCGAAGGAAAATAAACGGGATAGTTTTTAGTCAGTAAAATTCTGACACTCCCTCTCGCCACACCCAACACGGAAGAAAGGGCTGAATAACTCAAAAAAATAAAAAAATCTCTGTTTTCTTGCCTGTACATATCAAATAACTTGGCTGATAGAACCGTCACAAGGCATGTGAGATATTCGTGACAAAGTGCATCTCAGCGACATCGCATCGAGCATATGTTAAAGGCTGCAGTTTTATTGAATATACTCCGTCAGTCCTGAATTCCAATACATTTGTGATATCATATTCGAAGATGAATGAACGTCTATTTGGAACTACATTTGTCAGGGCTTCGCGAGAGATATTCAAATATTATTGACGTAGATTTTTATTTAAATTCACATACCATGAAATAAAATATCGAAAGAACACATTTCTATTACCATGGAAGGGAATGCTGAGATGCAGGTTCAAATGTAGCGCCAATAAATGGAATACCAAGGACTCCGAATCAAAAAGTTAAACAAAACTTTACTAATAAACCAACTGCTTTCAAATTTAGCGTTTTAAGTAAACATATATTTTAACGCTTAGAACTCTTTTATCAAACCATAACAAAGATTTAAAAAACATAAGAAAATTCTACTTCAAAATCAAGACATTCTATACTATCCTATACTCTACAGCCAATTTTCGTTAGATACAATATTGCAAACACTGCAACTATAACCTTAGAATTACTAACTTTTAAACTTAAATAAAGTATATATAAATATATATACATACTAAGTATATATAATATAGTATCTATATATAACTGTCTATACTGGGTCTTTAAAAAAAAAATTGAGCCTATTGCCATCAATAGGTTCACATATAGACATGGGGCTCATAACATAAATATTAAATAATGAAAAGTGGGTGTTACATTGTACAGTGGCAATTAAGTGCCGTAATGTGCACCTTTGCCTACCCCTTCGGGGATAAAAGGCATGATGTTGTGTTATAACTGTCTACTATTACTACGATCCACAACGTCAGCTAGCCCTGTTGTCACTCTGATGACATCGTGCTGTGACAATAGAGGGCAGCTTATAGGTTTAGTATAATGAATGGCTTACCCAAGCGCAGGAAATGAACTTGAGCGTCACATTGTCACGTGGCTGCTTTATTCTATACGATGGCTTGCCGGCAACAAATATCACTGAACACAAGGGATTTATTTAATAAACAATAAAGATTTATAACTCGCCTACGGGGACTTAAGACCCTGGATCATATTGAAACCCTATAATTTCTCTAAAGTAATAAATACTCATACTGTCAAAAATGTTAAATTTTCTGACGAGCCCCTTTTAATTTGTTAACCTTGACGGTACAACTTTCAATGAACCTTTCACATAAATTGACTATATATCGTACTTTTCTAAAACAACGGAACGTTCTTTTATGCATTAACGGACGCCCCCGAATCCCTCTAGAGACTAATAACACTACTGACAAAACACATCCTTTGTTATTCCTAAACAGCATGAGATTACGTCTGATTAGAAACACATTTCCATAATTCCATATAGTCCACCCGATAACAAAAAAAATCATTGCCCAAATTTTTTACTTCATCATAGTCGAGTAAATAAATATACCAACCAATAGAAATAAGCACAAGTAAAGCAGGGAATCCAAATCCTAGCGCGTAGCACGCATCATCTCCAAAACACATGACACTCCTGCGCAGTGCCGGCGTGACCACCATTCCCATAAACCCACCCAGGTTCACAGTACAGTAGAAAGTGGAGAAGAACTTCTGAAGTAACTGGTTCTCTTCTGGTAAACGGAACTGAAAGAAACCAGCGTGAAATCTTATTTACTATTTTATTACTTATTTATTTATTCCTACATATACAGGTGAAGATTTTGTTTGTTTGTTTAAACTCCGGAACTACTGGTACGATTTGAATAATTGCTTTTGTGTTGGATAGTGCATTTATCGAGAGAGGTTATAGAACATTACGCTACGATCAGTAGGTGCCGGGTAGAAAGTACTTAATATGTTCCATCATGTGAGTGAGGTCACCAAACGCCTAACGCCACAAAAAACTTGCACCGCACTTGTAACGCCTCTGGTTATGCGAGTGCCCATGGACGGAGCTGATCGCTTACCTATAAAAATACATAGCACATTTACAATCTAATTGCATAGCCATATTTAAAAAGTCCAGAAACTTGCAATTGTAATTTATAATAACATTAATGTCAATGCCATTGCCAATGCCACATTTCCATAATGCAAACAGGGATAGTCGCCGGTTTGTGTCCCATTGCATTAAAGTTGTCTAAACGGCCTCTGTTCAGTTGGTTTCGGGCCCAGGATCTCTCTCTCATTCATCAAGTCATTTAGGAGATGTACGATCTCCCAAATGACCGAGATCCTGTGGTCCTATAATTGGTAAAAACAAATAAACTTACAATCTTAAGATATACAATCTTGTAAAATAGAAACGTAATATTATTTTTATAAGATTGCAACAAACAAATTATTCTAGGGATCTGCTTTTAAATCCAATTAAAACATTTATTACACTATCGTTAAAACAGCAAACGGAAGCAATCAAAAACATCAGCTATCAAATAAAATGAGATTATCGGCAACATCCCAAGCAGTTCTAGTATCTATAAAAGTAACTAGCTCTTTCCTGCAGTTTTACTCTCATGTCTTATTAATGCGAGTTGCAACAGGGTATTGGATGGCGTTGAACAGCCCCAGTTTCTATCTTTGCTTATAGTTCTGTCAAGGTTTTTCCATAACAGTTAAAAATAACTTACTATACCTAATATAATAGATCCTGTGTAGTTAAAAAACCATTCCCTCATTAGATTAATCAAGCGATCAGAAATGCAACTGCTAAAATAAATAAAGTATCTGGGGTCAACGTCCAATCAACCTTTTTCCTCTGTTACACGACACTAAAATAAAAAAAAACTAACTGAAGCGCAGTGGGCGTGACAAAAACAAATACTTTGCAGAAATAACAGGAATCAAGTTATTATTTTAACAAACGTAAATAGAAGAAGTCACAATAGATAAAAGAAAACAAGTAACAGATACTTATCTTTGTTTCTTTAATACAACACTTAAATCTTTATTCTTACGTTTTCAAGTCACGTATTCGCGACGAAGCCTCTTTAACACACATATACGTGCTATTTCTGCGGACTACGTTGTGACAAGGATCCAATTAAAATAAACTAGAATAACATTTGTACGGGAAGTGAGAAAAATGGCCCGGCTTTCTTATTCCTGTACCGTAAGTTGTATAATTTCAAAATAAATATAACTACAAGGCTGAAAAGTGAAGACTGACGTTTGTGAATAATAAAAATAATTAGTATAGAATGTATGTACATAGGTAAATATATGGGGGATGATTATACTTTTGGCCAGCTATGTAATTAGTCTTATAGAATGGTCTTTTAGGGGTTTCTAGTGAATCCATTGACAGAACTTTTCTTAACTCTACGATATTTAAAAGAATAAAAATTCAACTCTGTTCTAATCTAATCGAAAATCGACGCCCAGACGCGTGACAGTCGTTACCACCAATGAGGCAGTTAAATAACAAATATTTTTTTATAAAACTTAAAACCAATTTCCGAATCTTTTTACTCAATTATTGAAGTAAATGTCCATTAACATTTTTTAAAAATTACGTGGTATTGTTTAAGTAAGTGCCCATTAGAAACCAATCCGCCGATTACAAAATAAAACTCAATTTTAACTTGGAAAACATTGCTCCCGCTTGGTGGTAATGTTCAGCCATTAGTCCACTACACTGTCTTTAAAGTAAAACTTTAATACTTAACAGTACCTAACACTCAAAATACACACATAAATGGCAATGTATTGGATATATAGAAACGCTCGTAGTTACACGATTAAAGACCACACTAAAAATAAATTTCTTAGTAACAATTCTCGTAGCACTCTCGTAGCAACCTCTCGTAGCACGTTGCTACGAACATTGTAAAACGTATAATATTGAGTTACAATGAAATAAAGAGATTATTGTTTTTACAGAAATGTTACTTGTACTTTTTTTATAAGATATAGAACAAATTAGTCGACTGTTTTCAAGCAATTACAATCGTAGAGAACACTCGTAGCAGTAGAGTAGAGGAGATACAATTAGTGCTTTACTATGACAGGTCATGTTTTTCATGGAGTAGCATTTTCTAACCCATTAATTAAAGAAGAAACGCTGAAATAAACTCTTATCTTATAAGAGACTTAAGCTATTGGTGTAGGTGATGTTGGAATGAATACATGACTCCGTTAAATATTCTCTGTTTTACTGCGCCCTCACTCTCATGATACGATGTAAGTGTATTCCACGACACGACCGGAAAGCGATCAAGCGCAAGATCTACGACTTTCCGTACTTTGCTCTGCACCGCTAAAATTTAGTCGAAGGCTAATAGTAAGTAGATTTTTATTGGAGAAATATTGTACTAAGCGCTTTATTCTAACTTAACATGGCTTAGAAGGTAATATAAACTGAACAGTAGTTTAATTTTATTCAATCATTGTCCAGCAAGGAAGAAGCTTTTGTTCAACAGTGAACGTCCTTTGGCAATGCTGGCTAATGATGGTGATGATGATTGCCAACAGAAAAATTCTGAAGGTAAACCCCAGGCTACTGCGTCGGTGAACATTGCACACAACACCACAAATGCTATAAAAGATAGTATTGTATAGTTTGTATATACCTGGTCACCTCCGAATGCAGCTACGCATGGTTTGATGCCGCCCGTGCCGGTTGCAATGAGCAACAACCCAATCATAGATGTCGTTCTGTAACAAAAACGTGAATGTCACATCGTAGAAACGGAATCAGTCAGTTACACCTTCTGTGTTGGGTTACGTAGTTAGTTGTCGGTGTTTTGTATTTAGGAAGAGAAATCAGTGTTTGTGTGGATCGCACTGTTCGCATCTGTCTGTCTCTGATCGCATTGTATTAGTTCTCATAAATGCTGTTAATGTTAGCTAAAAGATGAAATTTCTAAATGTTTTTAATGAACCCGGTTATCGCGGTAGATGAAAGTGCACTGAATAGATTGTAAAACATATCCCATCAAAAACATTGAATGTAAAAAAATGCCAAGTCTTTCGATGCAGTCTTTCCATCGTAAAAAGTTTTGAGATCTCATAGAAGCCAAGTTCTATTCAAATTATTTTGTAGTTACAAATCAACATTTAGTAATTGTATCAATTCCTTTCTTTTGGCAATGAACACAAGAGAAATAAAACGGCATATTTTTACACACAACGCATGCGTAAACATTAATATCACAAAATTAATTTTCTTTTGGTTTATCCGTGTCGTCCCAACCGAATTTCGGCAACGGCAGTTAACTAAATTACATTATTAACGTCCTACTATTATAAATGCGAAAGTTTCAAGATGTTATTAAGATAATGTATCAAAATAAAATATCTCAATTATGTTCGTTCGTTCGTTATACACTAACAAAGTCAGACGTTTTATCATTTCAATAAAATCACGTTGGTTTATTTTAGATGGGGTTGCAAGAGGTATTTTGAATGGTATTTTCTTAAACAAAACTTTATCCCAGACTGTAGGAAGGATTGTATTCTGGCTGTGTAACGCGGGCGAAGACGCTGTTTGTAGCTGATAATAATAATAAATGTTGAATGTATCTTTTTCTTTTAACTCGTCCAGTACCGGTTTTGTAGACACAATTATAGAACAATAGGTTGCGGTCACCGGTGACCGCTTGGTGTTTGACAGTTTAAAAAGCTTTAATGGGGTAGACGACTAATTTTTATTTTAATGTCCGTCTGGTAGATTATTTAAAAACATTAGACACGTATTTTTTATTTTCTTACGGAATCGAATAGTTTCGAAGATATATTGATTTGAAATGTCGCGTGACGTCACTTCTCAGTACATTTTATACTAAGAAATGACGTTTTAGCCCCCACTCCTAAACTTTGATTCGTTTTATCTAAGTATTGTTTTATTATACAACAAAATAAAAAAATACGTGTCTAATATTTTTTCATTACCTAACTGACGGACTAATTATATTTTTAATTTTCATACCCTGTCATCATCCCCATTACTACCCACACTAGGATTTTCTTCTGTGAGGTGGGTGTGTTTTACACCATACATGCTCACATACATAAAAGGATATTAAGTAGGTGTATAATACTTATACATATATAGCACATACATATATACATTGACTGCCTCGTTGGCCGAGTGGTCACATGTGCGACTGCCGGGCAAGGGGTCCCGGGTTCGATTCGTCGTCGCAAAGTATTACTGGGTTTTTAAAATTCTCAGTAGTAGCACGGAGTCTGGAAATGCGCCCGGTATATGGCAATAAGCTCACCCCCTATTACATGGGACTCGTAACATAAATAGTGAAAAGTGGGTGTTACATTGTACAGTGGCATTAAGTGCCATAATGTGCACCTCTGCCTACCCCTTCGGGGATAAAAAGGCGTGATGTTATGTATGTATGTATACATACATTGCCTTGCAGTGGGACGATCATGGCTGAAAGTAAAAAAAATAATAGTACATAGTTCAATGACTTCGTTAGCTACATGTCTGTTATTAGTCCCACGCAGGCTCGTCTCCTATTCGCGTATGTCTCGACTTCCCACACACTGCACAAATACAGACACTACTGCATCGGCTGCTAGTGCAAAGGAGAAAGTTCTAATGTCATCCACGTCATACAACATAGCTAGGTACTTACTTAATATAATTTCCAACACACTTCAAACCCTCAAAAGTACTTGTAAACCGACAAGTTAATCCAAAAACAGATTGTGAAAATAAGCACCCTTTTATATTATTCTATTGGAATTTTCAAGAAAGTCCGATGCCGTAACACCACAGCGGAAGGTAAGCGCTTCGATATAAAAATTAATATGTAAGTCTGCACTTTGTTACAGTTTATTTAGTGTTAAGTCGAAGTATGATGAAAAATGAAACGAGTGGGAAAACTTGCAAAGAGTATAATCTTAGGTCCTGCTACGTCGGCAGCAGCTCTCCTGAAGTTTTATCAAAGTTCGCTCGGGAAGCGCTGTTCCACTTCACTTAATGTTAAAGTCAATTGTTTGTTTTATTTACATCGAAAATACTTATTTATTTGAAAGAAAACACACACCTAAGCAATCATACAACACATATTGTACTAATACTGTCTACATAGATTTCAGGGTTAAGACGGGATTTATTTCTACAAGTTTCGTATGAGGAACACCAACGTATAAATTCATTATTAAGTGCAAAATGAGAAATAAACTCTATCAAACTAATATTTTTTCAAATAATAGTGAATTCAAATTAAACAGTGATACCTACAGTGGGTGCGTTTACTAAACACAAACGTAGACGTAGGCATCGACTTCGCAGACCAAATCGTACCTAAGCTGAACAAATATTTGCAACAAATGGAAATCAGACGCGTCGCGCCACGCAGCGCTGCCAAAAAACACTACATTAACTACTATACCACCAAACTTAGCACCAATTAAAATTTAAGCCAACTAATTGGTCAAAACCCCTATACTTGTACCTAATACTCTGATAGTCTGGTATCGGAATTAGGAAAATAATTGGTACTTCACTATCAACTTTATTAGACTTAGACCACTTCCGCTGCCAGCCGTATTGAATTTTGTATCAGTTTACCTAAGCTCTCTGCAGTTGCTAGTTTGTTTTCCAATTTTAAGTGGACTCTATCTATGGGAGTTTTCATAGTCTTTGTTTATAGAGGTATATAATTATAAGCTTGAACTTTTTTATCATTACAATTTTACTTTTAATGAACTAGTTAGAAGAGACATGAAGAGGCTTATCCCAGCTATATACTGAAACGGTTTGATGATGATAATAGTCATTTAGTGAAAACGTATGAACAATAATCATTAATTTATTTTATAAAAAGTGCTTATATCACCACGCATAAAGGGAAAAGATCAAATTAATTTCTGTTCCATATTTCTTTTTATTAATAGGCAGTATCCACGAACAAATTATAAATAAACTCACGTTGGAGGTAACATAAGCGGCGGTATCGCAGAACAGCAAGTCAGCACCGTCCCGATTAGGTATATTATTGAAAAATATAATATCACCCTGGAAAAAAATTTCATTAATTTACATTACATTGCACTGTTGGCTTTGTCTCGTATTGATTACATTAGATAAATTCAGAAATTAGATTTTGACGATCTGTCTACGTATTTAGTGAAATACCAGGAAAGTTGGACAGGCTTTATTAGAATCTCCCCATCTCATCTCTACAATGGCAGCTCTCATGCTGTAGCTCTATTACTTGACAGGCTAAACGAACGTACCGGTACATACTGACAATTGCATTTAATCTGTATGGGCTTAATACTGCACAAATGGTGTGGTAACTGGCAGCATACATAGAACAGTAGGTAAGGTATGCAGTATTCAGTGTATTAAGCGAATATAGGCAAATTTCGAATTCGAAAAATATGTCCTTTTACAATCTTAAAGCTATGAAATGAAATTTAGGAACGCTTGCGAAATTGCTTGTAAACTATAGCTAGCGTATCTATATAGGCACGCACCTAAGTAAAGCGCTTGAGCCAAACTTTATATACGGAAAACGAGCTGCAAGCCTTGTAAACAAAATGTTACTTAATTTTTATGTTTCGGCTTACTCGCGTAATTATTTGACGAGGACCTCGACTAGAGTAGCAGCGCGACAGTCGCCGCGTCGCGGGTCGCGGAATGCTGCTCATGAATATGAGCATGACTTGAAAGCTTGAAACTAGTCGAGTTCCTCGTCAAATAATTACGTTAGTCAGCCAAAAAATACAATAATTAATTAAGTACGTCTCTAGAAAGTTAGGTATAAAATAAAAATGTTCCTTATTCGTTGCATTAGGATTTAGCCTTCATTTATTCTGGATGAACAATATTATAATGCACCTTGTTTGTTAATCACAAAGCTTCCTTAAGAATCACTGCACTGAAATTGTGATGAAGAATTTTTATCCAATAAAATATGTAAATAATAAAAGATAACACCATTCTAACTTAATTCATCTATCAACCCTAACTACCCCGCGCCCCAAAGAGCCATCAGACCACCGCAGATGGGGCCCAGTAGGGCAGATGCCAGATACGGAACCGCGGAAGGCCTAACAGGTTGCCGGGGCTCCGGCTCGAAGAGCTAAAATAGGAACAGGGTGGTTTTTAATCTGTAAGAGGCACTGACTCTCCTTCTAGCCTAACTCAAGGCGGGAGAAGGCATTGGATGATACACTCCCCTCAAAAAAAGACACTAACTACCTACGTACGTACATATCTGTAGATTTCCCATAGAAACTATTAATTAGGTACACTTTTTGTTTTGAATACCTGTATCTTCCGATGAAATTGTCTGCCAATATGGCGCCCATCAACGGCATGGTGTAACACATCATGATAAATATGTGGTACACTACTGTCGCAGCGTTCTCGTGAAGACATAGCACGTTCCTTAAATATAGCGATAGGATAGCTGCGAAACAGATGGATGTAGGTTTAAAGACTGTCTTTACTAACAAAGACGATACCTATGTGGTTAAGGCAAATCAAAACATTAGGTGACACTCCCAGTCTGAATTTGGAAGTGTCACTTCCTTCCTTCACTTGTAATTCAGACTGGAAGTGTCACTTCCAGTCCGAATTTGATGAAACTTATTGCTTGTAGTATCTAGTATCACAACTAGGTACCTACATAATAGGATTTAGATTTTTAGTTGATCTGAAAAAATACACGCCAGTTACACATCCGGGCTAACTGCTTTAGCAATTAGCCATGGACCGGCGGGGTATAAACAAATACGGGCCCAATCTTTTATAGCCCCTGACATTTTTCAGTGTTTTAATTTTTATGTAATTGTGGATATGGGTAAGTAAGAGAAATCTAAACAGCTCGTATTAAAAGATAGCTTTCTGGTTGCTACTCCATCCGCATATCTACTTACTTTTCAGGGACAAACGTGATGAAGTTGACTTCTTTTTATTCCTATATCTCCTGTTAGTATCCACGGTGAAAAATGCTATGTAAGAATTTAGAGTAGGTACTTGCATAATTACTTGTACTTATAACATTTGTAAATATCTAATTTATTTGTAGGATTTATTAGATTTTACTTGGAATGGGAAGCCATAAATTAACGTCGTGTGCCATTGTACACGGACCTGCTTACCCTTTCAGTCATTGAAAGGTATGCTGTTACGTTGCATTACGCGTTATACCTCTACAGGCATCTACTGTCTGTATTTTGTTATGCATATGTTAACCTACTTTCGTTACATTTATAAAGCGGGAAACCTCACACAAACTTCTCGGTTCGTTACCTGCGCATCATCTCGTGGAAAGTTTAAATTCGCGTTGGTACCTAAGATCCGACATCGGCGTCGGCAGTCGGCAGTCGGCACGCTCAGTCGCTCAAGCACGCCGTGATTATAAAGATCCTACTGAATACTGAACTACGGTGTAACCAACAAATGCATGAAATGGACATAATATATCAATCAAACATACGTACTCCTCAGGCCGCAGAAGGAAAATCGTTCACAAAACTCTGTCGCTATTATACAAAATATCGACGTAGGATGACTATGAATCATTATTAAAATCTTAACAATAAAGAATATATTCCTAAAAAAATACTTAAATAATTAGACAATTACGGACAATGTCAATCTTAGATGGAAATGACAGATATAAAGGATTTTTCTGAAAGAAAGACGTACCAACCAAAACGAAAGTTCGTTTGAGACAAGAAGTTTCAATAAAACGTCTATGCTTTGATACATAATAGAGGTTCGCCTAGAGGCAACAGACGTAGTACCTACGCCTAGTTGGACGTATATCTGAAATTAAAAGTTATCTTCAATAAGTACCTACTTACAACTTATTAGTAGTAATAGTAGTTTTTTTTTTAAAAAAAAAACGTTGTCCCACACTAGGATATGCTCCTGTGTCGTGGGTGCGTTTACAAACATACAAGTTCACATACACATGACACCCAGACCCGAAACAACAATTTGTGGATCACACAAAGTGTTGTTCCGTGCGGGAATCGAACCCGCGACACGTTGCACGGCAGCCGGTTGCCCAGCCACCGCACCAACCGTGCAGTCATCGTTCTCAATCAGGTGCTGACCGTACCGACATGGTTGTTTCGGTAAGTACCTAAACAGAATTGTACAAGAGGCCACAGCAATTTGCCATCATTGCATAAACTCGAGGAGCACAGCGACAGTGTGGGCCTCTGAGCGACCGCTGGGGCCAGGTTGTCATTGCAAACTCATGACCAAAATAGATATAGGAAATCTAGATCTGTTGTTGTCTACCTATTCTTTGTATACTCGAACTTTATTTTTTAAACCACTGCACCTATTTGAGACATATTTGGTACAAGGGTACCTACATCAATAGTTTGAGACCCGGGAAAAATTCGCGGTCAAAAGCTTGTAGTACTTACCAACATAGCTATGGCTAACACAGCTATAATATAATAACATGTTCACACTACCGACAAGTCTTACTTTCAACAATACACTATGTATTTGAATTTACTGTCTAGTCTCTACGACTTTTCTTCATTAATACAAATGGTAGTTAACTCGTCGAGTACCGGTTTTGTAGACACAATTATAGAACAATAGGTTGCGGTCACCGGTGACCGCTTGGTGTTTGACAGTTTAAATTGAAATGCCTAAATATGAAAAAAAAGTCTACTAATTTCAAATTATCATCTTCATTTCATCATTAGACGTGAAAGACGTCCACTCCACTGCTGTAGAAAGTTATCCACGCCGAACGAAAAATGGCCAGGCCGCCCCTTGACTGTGATCCCTAAAAGCCATAAACATGGCAATCCATTCCTACCTTTTTATTAGCTGATGAGTCTTTATTTCTGATTATGATGTTTGCGAATTTGCTTCCACCGGTAGAGGTAGCGGGATTCGACAGTTCTTTAAAATTGTTAAGCGCAACTTTTGTTTCAGTGCTCCAGCACTGAAACAAAAGTACAAACTGAAATTGATAGTGTACATGCTTCATGTGTCTCTGGTGTGAAATAATAAATTGATGTGGTCGGTTGGCTCTATTATAATATATACCTACAGAGAGTCAGTGAGTATCTTCAGTTGGACATTGTAGGCGATTGAGTAACTACCGACATTTCTTCATTGTACTCAACAAGACGAATCGTTTGTTCTTGTTTTTTAATTCATTGAAGGGTTGTGTGGCGGCATCTATGCTGCGAGAGCAATAACTCAAACGGACGGAAATAAAAAACGGGAATCGGAAAACCTTGCAAATGTGGGCAGAATAAAAGTATGCGGCTTGCTTCGTAGATGGCGCTAGAATATATTTATTAGGTTTACTAGGGATATCTGTATAGTTTGTGAGATATCACAATCATATTCCTACACATCTCATCTTAATCATGAAAAGATGTGAATTTCATTTAATAATAGCATAAAAAACTTTTCAAAAGGTTCTCTATTTTATATAAAAAATTTGAGGACACATACCATGTGTTTTATGCCACTGCATTATGTCATCTTGTTTTGTTACGCTGTGTTATGCGGAGTTAAGTTTTAATGTGTTACGCTGGGTTGTGTTATATTGTATTTGACAGATTATGCAGCGTTATGTGTAAGTAATGCTGTGCTGTAATATTTAGGTAGCGTTTCGTTGTAATATGCTGAGTTTATGCTAACTTGTTACGCAGTTAATGCATAGCTATGTTTTAATAAGCACATGGAATAGTAAAAAGTAGTGGACATGGAATATGAACGTGGAATAGTTTTTATTGTTCTATGGCTTAATACGATATGATATTGCTATTCCGTGCTCTTACGCGGAGTTTTGCTATGCTACGTTGTTATGGTGTCCTAACACTGCGTAACGTTACACAAAATAACAGAATACAGCCTACTGTATTCTGTTATTTTTTTTACACAAAATTACAGAATACAGCCTACTGTATTCTGTTATTTTGTGTTTTTGTGTGTTGTTTACTTCATAGGTGTTATGCTGTTACATTTGTTGTCATGCGGTGTTGTGTGGTATTACATTGCGTTGTTATATCATTACTTGTTGTCACTTGTTTTTTGATAGTAGTCATTTGATGTGTGATGAGTGTAAAAGTGCAAGTAGATACAAGGAAAAGAAATAAGTGCGTAGTATTTTATTCGTAATGTATAAAAGGGTGATCGATTTGAAAATAAAACAACATTATTTGCCTTTATTTTTAATAGTTACACCACAATAAAAGCATGACTATCACTACAAAGTCAGCTTTGCTTGACTAATGACTACACACTAATAATATATTTTCAAAAATTTTGGGTACCTTTTGGTACTATAATACCATGTTTTATCCTTACCAATACAATAAATATCAATAGTAAATGACATAAATACTAACACTTAATGAATATTTCGAAAGTAGATTAGTATAATATTAGACCGTTTCAAAACTTTCCAAAATCCTTCTTCCAAAAGTACCCTGTTAAAGCATTCTTATGCACAACCAACACGTTCCAAACTTGAGGGCTGGCATGGTCGTTGATATGTCAGTCAGTTCTCAGTCAGCTTTGGGATTCAATTTCTCCTTAATTCGGCAAATAGCAAACACGCATAAAACACATTTCCATTCATTTCTGCTCTGTCATAATATTATTATTATTTTAAAGAAAACATCTACGTATTTTGATTATATTAGACACAAATTGAAGGTCGTGACCGTCGAGCGAACCTCCAGGTCATGGTGTTAAGGGCGGTTTTAACCGCAGATCGTCATTGTGACGAGCAAAACGCTAGTCCCTTCATTCAAGAGTAGCGCCAATCGCTTGGCGCCGGCGCACCTATCTACATTCAATGCTCAGGGCCTATGAGCCTGGCTCCTCAGTTTCTCAAACCGATTCATGTTTTGCAATGATCCAGAAAGTACGCTCGTCGGTCAGGACCTTAACTCCTACATTATATTATTAAATGCTGAAACTATTACTTGTATTGTGAACATTAAACATCGATTTTATATTAAAAGTGATAATATTTTCACACAAAGACATAGTTGCAATCGTGCTCACCTAAGTCTTAGTCATAATTAATAAACTGAAATAATTATACTGAAGTTGTATAATTACACCTTTTCAAACCTCACCTTTATCTGGGGAAAACTGAATATTTTGTGCAGAGTAGCGTTTAAGAGTAAGACGCGATAGGAATATCTCACGAAAGACCAAAGTGACTCTGAGGTCGTTAGAAAAAATCTTCAGTGGTGAAGCGAAACAAGATTATCTACTAGCCGCCTCCAATACTTAGGACACCTGGCTCGTCAAGGGACTGAAAATTAGGGGAAACTCTTGATCACAGAATAGATAATAAAAGACAAAAGAGCACGAAGTCGCTCTCCTACACGATGGTCAGAATAAATCAAAGATCTTATGGGTCTTCCGATCAACATAGACACCAAACATCAACAACAAGTCAGGTATACATGGATGGCCATGCTAAAGCCCTCGGAGTGGAGTCCTTATGCAGATACGAACTTCAGAAGTATTAAAGTAATGGCGAAGAAGAGAAAAGAATTTGCCTTTGAATAAAATTTGATTAAGTGTGAGGTAACCACATCACTCTTTGGTGCTCCATTAAAACCATATTCGATTGACATTAAAATATCTCCACAGACAAAAGCTAGATCTGTCTGACGCAAGTGTAATTATTATTTAAAATATCAGATTAATTATAATTTATAACAGATCGGGGCAAATTTTGAGTGATTTAGATGTCATAAAGGTAGATCGGAATCCAAAACTTTAGATAATAATAAATATAAATATCAAAAATACAGTTCAAATTACGAAATAGAAAATCACAGGAATCAAGTCTTAGACAGCGTTATGATAGTAAACGCCACCGACGTTGTCATCGAGGCGCACCGAAGCCATTGCTGTGGTCAGATCCCTTTCGTAGCCAAAGTTTCCTTCGTCGTCATCGTAATCGTAGTTTATATAGCCAGTCTCGGCGTCAAAAATTGTTTCATTGGTAAGCTCCTCTGGTGGCAAATTGCGTGGCACGAGCAGGGGAATTTCCTGTGCGTCGAAAGGCAGCCAAAACTGAGGCCCAGGAAGTGGCCCTTCGAGTAGCGGCCCCGGGATCTCGAAGTATGGCATATCGAATCCCACGTATGGGACGGGTGGCTGCAGCTGTGCTGGTGGAATGCCCTGCGGCTGCATCGGTTCTTGGGCGCGCTGAGCATCGCGGTCGTTAGCGTTGGGGCGCTCGTATGCGTCATGAGGCAAAAACTCGGGAGCAAATTCAGGAGGATAATCCTGCAGGAACGCTGGGTTCACGAACTCGTGATGTGGGACGAAGGCGTAATCCGGAGCAGCATACCTGGCGGCAGGCACGTAGAACGGTTCAGTATGAACGAAATTGATGTACGGGAAGCAAGCAGGATGCATGGCGATTTGCGACAACAGTATGAAATGGTCGTTACGTATGTCACTGCTGTGAACAAAAAGGTATTTCCAGTAAGTACCTGCAATGTTACATACCCATACCAACTACCATGTGGAACATTTTACTCAACGCATATTGTATATCTGCAAACAAAACTGTTTCCTATGACTATTGTTTTTAATGCTACCGTTTTTTGCGGTCTTGACGATAGTGGATACAAGTAAAACCTTTCCCAACCAATTGGTCTACAGACTGATCGGTCGGTTTTGGCTGACCTTGTATAACAAAGTAAGTTAATTTTTGCATAACAATTACTTTCAATTTGTTAGCAGATAAACAATAACATATCAAACAACACATACAAAAAGCGCTTTAAGTTAGTTGTACCATATAGACTAATGTTAGTGTTTGTATCACAGAAATAAAACTTACGTAGCCGCGGAGAGAAAGATTGACGTACTCGAAATCTGATCCGTAAGAACCCCAACACTGATCTCGAATACCATAGAAACGTTCCTATACTTACAGTTACATTATATGGAACTTTTAAGCGCTTTTTTAGGAGTCGGTTGGCCAGTGAGTCTAATAAAAATAAAATAAAAAACATACATAAAGCATATTTATTGTATCTTTTTGTGCTGTATTTGTACCTATTTCTATATTTACAATTTTATTTTAAATCGATAATGGTGCGTTATGAGCCAATTTTTGTATCAACTTGAAGCCACTATTTCTATGTACAGAATGTATTAGCACCTATAAGTTGGGGACTATTGGAACAAGATAATGGTTGTGCGCGAACTGTGCGTAGAAATTCAACCTACTCTTTTTAGTTCTGCATGTGTACCAATACAAAAATTTAGAATTTAAATCATTTTACATTAAAATGTACAATGCCTGCTCAACATCGTCATGAAAAATAAATGCCCATAGGGTCAAATATTAAACATATTGCATAGAAACTTATTTTATCTACTTTTATCGAGCTAAAAATTAACCTTTTGAATGCACCGGTGTAAGACACGATAGAAAATACATTGTGTCTCGCCTGTATCCGCGTTTAGACACACGTAATGTTAAAATGAATAGTGATTCAGACACTGTTCAAAAAATTATTAAGAAACAAAAGTGGATTCTACAGTTCGAAACTAAAAACAGAACCAAAAACCAGTAGGGAGGCTTTCAAACACCGGTATGAAGCATATTTCGCCAGAAACAGTGATATTTACTCCATAGTATAATTTAGAAATGATACATTTTCTCTGAATGATATATTATGAAGCTATGTATTATTATTTATCGAAGCATGTTACCGAGATAACATTGTTACAGACCTGGATTCAACTGTCAAAAATCTAAATTATTTTCTTGCACGGTTGCGTGAACCGCTGCAATCGAGCTAGTCCGTAGACACCTTAAAACAATTATGCCAATTTAAAAACCGTGTACAAAACAGCAGGTATATTACTTGTTTTTTTTTTCTAGGAATTAGGCTTACTTTTTGTGCCTAACATTTACTTCCAAACCCTTACACCCCATATACATATAAGGGAACTAATAAACTTAGAACACAAAACAAAAAAGTTTATAAAATAAAATAAAACAAATAAATATTACTGAGGAATATAAACCATGTCGACAGTGGTAGATTTCATTTTTTTGTATAACACCAATACATACAGTAAGTAAATGAAAAATATTTTCAACTAAAAATAGTGAACTCATTCGTCAACCGGAGGTTCGAAATAAGACGGGATCATTGAGTGGAAGAACCTGTAAACAGGCGAGCCGCCCATGCCCAGGTTGCGGGGCGGGTCGACCTTGTACGAGTAGCCGTAACGATTCACCGACTTGTCGAAGACAGGGTCCCAGCCACAGGTGGGCCGGAAGAACGAGTTCACCGGCTGCAAACAAACAACACTCGTATTTACTACATATACGTACTACCAATAGGCAAGTCATTTCAGTTTTAATCCGAGGCCTTCTTAGTACGAGTTTATCTTACGTTTAAAGTTATCGAAACGTGTACGCGTTCTCTGATTGGTTGGTTCATCGGAGCTAGCAAATCAGAGCTCCAAACACAATTAAAACAAACTCGTTCTAAGGCCTCAGAATGACTCCGTTTTCATTTTAATTAGACTACGTTTGGGCATTTAAGATAGAATATGAAAGTTACCATGTCAATGATGAGCTTGGACATGCAGGAAAGCACCGAGATATGGCGCAGATATTCTGGAGGCCACACCTGGAACAATCCATGGCGGCTAACGGCCCAATTGTTAGCAGTCTCCTGAAATGTTATACACAAATTCATATTTAATATGTATTCTCTACAATATAAATGAAAAGCTCAATTGCTTAATTGAAACATTGAAATAAATTGATATATCGTACCCGGACAGTAGTATCTTCATCATAGCTCTTGCAGAGCTCCCCAGCATTTTTTGTGATCCAACCCATTACGGGCGGTTCATTCCAGCGTGGAGCAGTCATTTTGGCATATATTAAGAACAGTTCCTCCACTCCTGGAGTCCATCTGAAAACGTTTATTTGTTAATTCCATACTTCCACTCGGGACATTAATTATAATTTTCTCAATTATCAAAAACGTACTTGTCAAACTGACTATATTTTATTATTTTATTTAATTTCTATGTGACTAGAAACTGCTTACGTAGGTATATACATAACAAAATACTTACGGGTTTTGCAAATCACGCTTGAATATAGCGTGGTTGAGAATGGGAGTGTTGGAAACACCGCAGCATGCCATTATATGCACGAATACCTGAGGGTGAGCTAAAATAGCCTCTTTCATAAGCTTATCTGCCTCCGTGAAGTCACCTGAAAAATTATTTATATTAAGAGCAACGTTATTTCCTTGTAATGAAGTAATTTTGGATCACAAATGCTTTGCTAACCCCTTCTCTTAATGGTGACATGGAAATGAGCCAAAGCATTGGAGTACTTGATGTTAAACAGGAGCTTGGCCTCTCGCTGATGATCGAAGTAGCGGATTGCTTCAATCAGCCATTCATGCTCCCTGGCGCGCAGAGCAAGGATATCAATCAAAGCTAACAGTGCCAACGGATCATTAGGGTCCAACAGGAGCATCATTTTTGCTATCTCTAGCGCAGTGCGGTGGCAGGCCTTGTTAGAAAGCAAGTACACATACTTCAACATGGCCACATGGAATGGTCGGTTTTCCATATACTTATAATCCAGTCGGACATTGTTCTGCAAACATTTCAAATAGATTAATTTACACCCAGAACAATGCATGTTTGAAAAAGAAACGAATGAAATAAAAACAATATATTTTTATACATACGTGGGAGAGAATAAACAGTGGGTGAGCCACATATTGGAGAAATAGTACAAGGTTCTCCACGATTTCGTTCGCAACACCATTTTCTTCCATGCGGAATAAACGGTCGGCTATCTGAAAATGGTTAACAAGGTACAGCTTAATAACAGGTACAGAAAATATTCCATATTTCAATAAGACATTTACATTTATGGTTCTTACCTCTAACAAGGCTTCAACGTGCATATTACGTCGAGCTTCTTCTAAGCCCATAAGAAGTTCAGAAGTTTGAGCACGTGAATATCTCGCGAGATAAGCGCGATGCATCTTTTGATACGTTTCACTATGATTGAAAACGAAGTACATTCGTTTGTTTATATCCTTATATTTACTCATGGATAGACCTGTAATATCAAATTACCCGATTTAAGGTGTATGCCTATATAAGTACCAACGATCAAATAAACAATTACTACTCGTAACTGTTAGTATTCGTTTCACTTACCAATATTGTTAAACTCATAAATCTGAGTGTCTTTGTTGGGGTGAACCAAAACACGACGCAGCATAAAGGCGCGACTGGAATGTATACGGCCACTGGAAATTGAAAGAAATATAAAATTATTTTTATGTTTTTATTAGATATGTACTAAATTAAAATGTAAGCAGTACATTACCGTTTATTAAGCTCGCTTTCGTCAGGCCCAAACAGCCGCCTGACCTCATTGGTGACATTCAAGTGTCGAGCATCGACGGTTAGTACCTGCAAGGCATGGTTAACCTTAGGCGCTGCGGCAGCTCCAGCCGGAGGTGGCGGAGGGCCAGATGGGGAGCCCAGCATAGCGTTCACTTCTTGAACTGTGCGGTCAATATCATCCACCTAAACAAAAAAAAAATTAGAGTTTGTGTTTTTAGCACTGTATACAAAGTATATAATATGTGTAATGCAGGTATTACAGCGCCCGGTGTTCTGCGAACGCGCCCCTTGCCACCGCCACCGCCACTGCCGCCGCTGCCGCTGGCGCCACCACCGCCGCCGCCGCCGCCTCCCTTTTTCTTGATGTTCTTCTTTTGGACGGGCAGTGCTTGTGCCCTATCTTGCAATTCCTCTTCGCTGCGTGAACTACGGTCGGACTCAGAGTGGGAGCTTAACGCCAACTATAACAAAACAGTTTCAAATAAATATTTAAATTTCGATAGAGCTGGCGATCTAGCATTGTCGAGTCTCTGGCTTCTTTTACAATTTAGAGCTCATATAATACCATAAGGTATAATACATAAGGGACAAATAATTTAATTATTCAGTCGCAGCTGTGTACCGTGTGTGTACTTTATCGCAAGCCGGGTTATGTACGAATTGTACAATACAACCTTTTTTTAAACATTTGCCATATCAATGGATTCAATCAATAGCGGAGAGTGACCTCGACGGCCCCTTTGCTTAAATTTTAAATAGAGGTCCTACACAATATCGTCTGAACACGTGTTCTTTATAGAAAGAGTCCCCTATTTCAATGACTAAAAAGCTTCAATATGATCCTTTTTTAACAGCAATAATAGTATCTATTGTTACCGTTACATAAGACACTCTAATTAATATTTTGGGGAATTCTCTGGGAAACTGTTCATTATATAAAGTTCAATGAAACAGTTATAAACATTTATTTCAGTCCCTGAAATAAATCTTGCAAGCTGATGCTACAAAAATACTTAATAGTGAGTATCCTATACCTTCTGTGCAATATTTTTAATCAGTTCGGGTAAACCGAAGACAACTATGGCAGCTGTTACTGGCAGGATCAGTTTTATATGTATAGGGTGAGAAGCAGGGGTTACACTTATGTGAACCGACAACATCGTTAAACAATTTGTTATTGAAACATAATGAGGGTAACATTTAAGAATGTGATTATATGATCTTGAAATTATTGTCATGTTAGAATCCTGTTACAACTTGAGATATTTATTTATTTTATTATCGAAATAAAAGATGAGGATCATATAAAAAAAATCCAAAATTTTAACTGATTATTAATATAGTTAACTGTTCCAGCTCTGCAGGTTAAAAGTTTTTTAAAAACAGTAATAAACTTATTATTCCTGTTTTTAAAAAATACTGCGTTTAGTTGGAATTTCAAATTTTATTTTAATTGATTTGTTTTGTTATTTATAACTGCGCCGCTTTAGGGGAGGGGCAGCTGTCGGTCAGATGACCTCGTGGTGCAGTATTATTACTGCGCAAGTGCGAGTCGCGCCGCATTGCAGACAAAGCGGCGTCACCTCACCCCCCTTCCACCCTTTCAAGAGCCGCCATTTGGATTAACCTATGATTTTTAATGTTTAACTGTTCAAATATTTGAGCTACTATGCCTTCTAATATTTTCATTTCTCTTCTATTCCCTTTGCAGGATGCAAGTACTTAGTTAAGTATTAGTATCCTCAATTGCAAATATCCGCTGAGACAAATCAGCATCCGGCAGCGGACTCAACAATTTGCTGCAATCCCTCAATGATTGCACACAAACAATGTTGCACCTAACAAATGTTACAAACCCTACCAGATAAGATTTAGTTAAGATGTAATATTTGCAAAATACTCACAGATGCATAACTTAATGTACAAGTGCAATGCAAAACAAACGGTCGATTAAAAAGTTACATAAATCGCAATTGATGACAAGTTTAACTTAAACGCTTGCAGCAAAAACCACACAGCTTTCATTTTGACTTAGCAGTTTTGTATCAATATCGCAGTTAGTTTCAACAACTTGATTGTAACAAAGTACCTAAATATACATTACAAGAATATGGTATAACACAGTAGCGCAATGCATTCCAACCAAGACCTACTTACCCCTGCATATTGAGAACTGGTTGGACGACGGGCATATAAAGGCTGGTAATCTTCATCTGAATCTTCCGGAGGCGGGGGCAAGTTGGCTTGCCCGTTCGCCTTACGGAATTGGCGAGATGACATAGCTGCAAAGTATAAAATTCACCAATGTAATCACATGTTTTACACATTTAATCACAAATGTAACACAATTGCATAATATTGCACACAACTAAGAAATAATTTAAACAAAGAACTTCACTGTACCAAAAGACATTGTGACATCTGCAATGCACAAATGCCGCCACAAAACTGGGTGCGGCGACTAAAGTACTAAAGGACTAGCTTTGTCTAGGACCCAAACATGCGCAGTAAAGGCAATCAATATCTTGGTACCTAAATTTCAGGCATGCTCAGTAGAAGCGGACGCGCCCCAATTTGCGTCCCCCACGCCACCCCTCTGACCGCAGACAAAACCTTGGGGTAGCGATTAATAATTGATACAGTAATTTAAAATCCGATATCTGAACAATTTATGGAATGAAGGAAAAAAACTTTACTTTTTACCAGTTTATATTCAGCAGTGAGTGCTACGGCAAGTAAACCCGAGCAATACGAGAAATACTAACAGTATAAAGAGAAAACTGTAAAACAGATAAGGCCACAATAAGATTATATTCAGCACAGTATTGACTTACCAAAATATCCAGATGTTGATGATAATCAGGAGCGCGAGCAACGCAGCAGTTGGTGTTGTGATGGCCAAAGAGCCAACACTTGTCAATGTCAGACTGACACTCGATCGATAGGTGCCGTCAAACAGAAATGTCAAACCGGTAATAGTGATGTGACGCTAAGAGCTAATAGGTTAAAAATTATCTTTATTTGTTCTAGCTTAAGGTAATATTAATAATAACTATTACTAAATTAAATATATACAATACAAGATAAAAATTAATATATACATAGAGCTAATTGAGTTTGAATGTATCGAAAACTTGACATCTAATAAAAACAAAAATAAAAAACTAAAATAACTTAAATGAAATAAGTAGTTTTTATTTATTGATATTTCTGTAGTTAGTTCGGGATTTTTGACCAAAATCAAAAATGTGGAATATCTCAGAAACTTTGGAACTAAAGATTTTTTATGGAATTGGAGGCAAACAGGCAGACGTATCACCAATTGTACATAAATAAACATAATTGTAAAAACACAATCTCGAACATATTTTCCCGACGTTTTACCTTTCAACCAAATCTAGTGAATCTCCTTATTTTAGGTAATATGTTGTACTCTAAGTTCATAACATTTCGGTACAGCTGACAGCACAGGTTGTATGCTAAAATTAAAATAGTTCTAGTGCAGTGCTAGTGACCAACGATGCTTGCGCGCGATGGAGACATAGATGAATAATAGGGGATAAGCCACAAGTTGCATATACAATTATGGTTATACAAATATCACGCAAATATGAACCTCATCAACATAAATATATCTGTCTCATTCTTACTAGTTGTAAATTTCATATATAAAAAGAGTTAAGCATAAATCATAAACTTCAATTTCTGGTAACATTTTCATCATGACGTCACCAAGCTCCGCCTTGAAGCCCATTCCGCCATTTAAGAGAGACACATTCCGCTCATGTTTTTGGTAGATCATCTGTCAACAATACGGTTTTTGGAAATATTTTAGGTGTTACGTAAAAATGAGAAGGTTTGTCATGTTTTAGGTTAGTTCTAATTATCTTTGTTATTTATGTATACATCTTGTGTAAATTATGATATAAGTCTTTATTATGACTTCTAATTCGGGTTTTCTGCTATTAAGTATACTTTTATAAGACTGTTACTACTACTACTAGACTGTTGTTCACATAAATTGAACTAGTTAACATTTTAATTGTTTACATTTTATTCATAGTGCTGACCTTTGTTTTATAAAGTTGTCGATAGCAGTATTAGCAATAATATTGGCATAGCCATCTGGTTAACGAACATTTACGGTATATTTTTCTGTATTATATGAAAGTATTGATTTAGAGCCTTATAATCTACTTTCAAACATGAGAGTTGAGTGACGTCCTAAAACGCACAACTACAATATTTTTATTTGTTTCCGTATACTTTATTTAATTTGTACGTAATGATGATTAAATTTGATTTTAGATTTCCTAAAAATGAAATTCTAAAGGAACAACTCCTTTAGAATTTCATTTTTGGATGGAAAAATAGGTAAGGATAATTATAACATGCATCAGTATTAACAATATGCTCCAACCATTTTGAAGAAGATTGTGTGAACAGAACATTGAATATTATTCGACTTCAAGATAACGTAATTCCTACTATTTTTGATATTGGCCATATTTTCAATGACACTATCAGTGAACATGAAAGTTCTCATAAACTGTTATTCTTACATATTTAGATACAAGATATAAATATTACGGCAAAAACAATGACTAACATGTGTCAAAAAAATCTTTTTACAAAATTAATATTGTTTCGCCATGATATATTATTATAATCAGCAAAACGTTTGACATTTATTCATTATAATGCATTCTGGCCTACCCCTGTATGCCAGAATGCATTATAATGTGAATGTGAAACAGTACGCTGGAATGGGGATTCCAGCGTACTGTTTCACATTACAGAAAAACACACAGTGTTCCATGGTATAACTGAGTTTGATTTTTAGTTGTCTGACTTTATATAGGTATATGAAATAATGAACTTATTTCTACGTGATTTTAGAGCAACGTTCAATAGCCAACATTCTCTGGAAGGGTCAGGTTTTTTTACAGTACTCGCTTAAGAATCTTATATAAAGTTTCAATGGTATTGGTATTTATAATATTAGTGAGATTATGATTATGTGAATGCTTTACCATCAGTTGTACTCTTTTAGCAATTCTTTTATTTCTTTGTTTCGAATTTACATTGAATTGCCTATGTCGATATGTTATGTCGACATAGGTACAACACTATTGTGTGCGGAGATCCGCCATTTTTGAGGTATTTTTGGCTTCAAATCACGTGATCATATTTCCGATCCCCTATTACACATCTATGGATGGAGATGACACTGACGAGTGTCAAAATTTTCGTCAATTCCATATAATTTGGTTTTCTATTCTACATGTAGACAAGCGCTAAATGGCATTTGGCTACTGCTGTTATTATAAAGTAGTTGACGCGCGATCAGAAACATTCACCAAATGGCAATGATGCGGTACAAATTTCAGTGAAAAATGCCGAATAGCGCTGTCAAAATCTACATAATAAACAAAAGATTAATGTTACTTTCTATTTGTGAGTATTATTTTGTCATATTATTAACTTATAATGCAATAATATAGTCAAAAACTAAAATATCGGTCGGCCGATCTATAAGTGTTGCCATAACGATGGTGGCATCACTAATTTAGTACAATTATGTACAAGAATCAGTTCAGTAATTACAACTTCAGTACAACTTTCAAAATTGTAATTTATAAATTCTAGACTATTATTGAAGTATATTAAGCATTTTGTATTCTTATTACTATTTATTGCCGTTCACAAATATTTTTAAATTATAACATTTTTATGAACAACATTTAAAAATTGCTATATATTATTAGATAATTAATTAATGATATCGAATTTTACATTCACTATATCTCTCAAAATTCTCTAATACATATTTATTCTTCATTATTATAAAATATTTGCAGGTCAACTTATGCCGAAAATACCTACGTAATTGTATTATTTATTTATTATTATTATAAATTTTAGTAAAAAGTAGGTAACATAGGAGCAAACTGAGAGGTATGTACATCACATATGAATATAGATATCGAATTCCTGACTGTTATTCTGACTATTATTTTCTCAAATTCCCAAAATATGCAATTACTCGGGCTGTCTAGATTCTATCTTGTACAAATGTTCGTTCGTGGACTCTTAAACGTACTAGCATAGTTTGCCCACCGTATTTGGAAGATGCATGTTTCAGTCTGAGGATAGATCGATCTAATATGAGGCAATGTTTTTATTTGTGACTAGCTGTACCCGCGACTTCGTTCGCGTAGAATAGTGACTATGTGTAGCGTTTTTTTTTTTTTAAATATATACTTATTTTTATTTTAGATTTGGATCATAATCACAGTCATTTTGGGTAGCTAAAAAACCTACTTTACTGTAATGCTTCTCTATTTACAATATTAGACGTATGGCCATCGGGGGTGAAAGCATACAGGCTGCTGAGATTGCTAACACGGGACAGAGCCACATACAA